GGTTTTTCATGACAGGGTTTCACTGTGTAGCCCTGGCTGCCCTGGAACTCACTCTGTAGACCAGGCTCCGAATCTACAGAGGTCTGCCTCCCTCTGCCTCAGGAGCACTGGAATGAAAGGCCTGTGCTAGAATTCACTGTTATGGAATTCTCTCTGTTAGACCAGACTGGTTTGGAACTCAGAGAACCTCATGTCTTTGCTGGATTAAAGGCATATACTACCACTATCTGGCTCAAATACATTTTCTTTCTTTCTCTTTTAATTTATTTTTTATTTTATGTGTATTGGTGTTTTCCCATGGGTGTCCAGTCTCCTGGAACTAGAGTTATAGGCAGTTGTGAGCTGCCATGTGGGTGTTGGGAACCTGAGTCCTCTGAAAGAGTGAAGAGTACTCTTAACTACTGAGTCATCTCTCCAGCCCCGAACATAATTTTTTAAAAGAAGTAATTTAGTTGATGGAGAGAGGTCTCAGTAGTTAAGAGCATTGACTGCTCTTCTAGAGGACCTTGGTTCAACTCCCAGCACCCGCATGGCAGCTCACATCTAACTCCAGCGGCAGGGGATCCACACCCTCCTCTGGCCTCTGCAGGCACTGACCACACCCATGATACACAGACAAACATTGCAGACAGAACACTCATCCACATAAAGTAAACAGAGATAAAAAAAATAGCCAGGTGCATGCATACATATACACATACATAAAGCACGTACGTACGTGCGTGCGTGTGTGTGTGAAAACACATGCATTAAGCACGGTTTCCCACACCTGTAATTCTAGCATTAGTTCAAGGCCTCGTTAGGACAGAAAGTGAAATTTTTTTTCTTCACAATGCTGAACCAAAAAGCAAGGGTGTAAGCAAGTTCTTGGTTGACTTAGGCTTTAGCTCACTTAGCTCATGTTAGAGAATGCTTGACTTGGTTCTGTGTTGTAACACCATCAAAAGAAAACAAAGTCCGTGAGCATGTTAGGTTAAGCAGCTTGTGTTGCATGTTTCAGTTTTGTGGTGGTATTCTTCTGTCCTGTTTTTGTGTTGCTTTGCTAGTATGGGTCATCTTTTTGCTGATAAATTTAGGCTACTTTTAACTGTGAATGTGCCTTTAAATGTAACCTTAGAGGGGCGGGCAAGACGACTCAGCAGTTAACTAGCACTGGCTCTCTTCCAGAGACCAGGGATCAATTCCCAGCACTCACATGGCAGCTGCCTGTCCCTCCCAGTCCACTGTACCTGGCACCCTCATGCAGACACAGCACCTATGAATATGAAAAAAAAGAAAGAAGCTGGGCTGTGGTGGCGCACGCCTGTAATCCTAGCACTTGGGAGACAGGCAGGTGGATTTCTGAGCGTTCGAGGCCAGCCTGGTCTACAGATCGAGTTCCAGGACAGGCTCCAAAAGCTACACAAAGAAACCCTGTCTCAAAAAACAAAAAAACAAAACCAAAAAAAGGGAAAACAACCTTAGAAATTTCTTTTTCTTTCTTTTTTTTTAAGATTTAAAAAAAATGTATGTTTTTGGCCTTTTGGTTTTTTGTATGTGTGTATCACATGTATGCCTGATGCCTGTGGAGGCCACAGAGTGTTGAAACTCCTATACCTGTAGTTGTAGACACATGGAAGCTGCTATGGGGTCTGGGAACTGTACGTGTGTCTTCTGAAGAAGCAGCAAGGACCCTTAATCACTGAACCATCTCTCCAGCAACTGAAATTCCTAAAGAATTAAAATTAGAGTGATATATTCTTCTAAGGAAAGAATTTCCATCTTTGTTTGGTAATGGAAAGACAAGTATGACTATTTAAGGGCTTTTGTTCGATTATGTGTTCTAACTTATATTTCTTTAAGAGCTTGTTTATTGTATGTGTGTATGCTGTGGGTGTGGTGTCTGTCTGGTGACGGTCATAGGACATCAGTATGGATTCTGTTCTGGGGATGAACTTGGGTCTTCGGGCTGGTATCACAAGTGTTTTTATCTACTTAGCCATCACATCAGCCTCTGGATGTGCTAAAAATATATTTCAGCTCTTGGTTGAGAATTAACTTGGAAGCGCTTAGGAAATTGAACACCGAAGTCTGCTTTATCAGCTGGGATATAAAGCTGTGTGGCTGAGGGGACTGAAACTGCAGTCTAGGCTGGCCTTCAACACTCGGCCTGCCTCTGCTGCCTACAGTGCTCTTGAGAGGAAAGGCTTGCACCACCGAGCTGTGCTTTGAAAGCTTTTAAAAGAACGATTGTGTTTTAAATGCTAATTTAGCATGGTAGCCTGTTTATTTTTTTATTTACTCTATTATTTTTGATTTTTGAGACAGGTCTCAGTGTAGCCCACAATGCTTTGTATAGTTAAGGATTCCCTTGAAGTCTTGGTTTTCTGTATCTACCACATGCTAGTGTAAAGGTTTTCAGGACTGTGCTTGGCAGGGTCAGCTCCCTCGAAGCATCATGCCAGGTTTTCCTAATTGCTCTAGCTTCCTTAGAGATAGAAATTGATCAGTTAGAAATTTTCATTCTGGTTGCTTCTTTTTCCTCCCTTGAATTAAACAGTCTTGCTTTATCGCCGCTTAGGCTGAATTGGACCCCCTGCTTCCCTCTCCCAGGTGCGAGGATTCTGTCTATCTTAGCATGCCTGGCTTCCCAAAGATCACTGCAGAGAACCGTGTATAGTTCTTCCCTTGAGACAGGGTTTCTCAGTAGAACAGCCTGGCTATCCTGGAACTCACTCTGTAAACCAGGCTGGCCTCGAGATCCACCTGCCTCTGCCTCCTGAGTGCTAGACTTAACGGCGTGTGCCACCACCGCCCGGCTCTGTAGTGAACATTTTTTTTTTTTTTTTTTTTTTGGTTTTTCGAGACAGGGTTTCTCTGTGTAGCTTTGCGCCTTTCCTGGAACTCGCTTTGGAGACCAGGCTGGCCTCGAACTCACAGAGATCCGCCTGGCTCTGCCTCCCGAGTGCTGGGATTAAAGGCGTGCGCCACCACCGCCCGGCTGTAGTGAACATTTTAATAAGTGAAATGGAGACCTACCTTGCACTCACTTCATTGGTGGAGAACAGCTGGTGCCAGTTAGCTTCAATTGTAAAGAACAGTATTTTTCAAATATTATTTTCTGTCATTTTTGTCAGACAATCTGTTCAAATATTCCCAGCTTCTAATTGAGCAGGGGTGTGGTGAGAATTTTCGTTTCTTAAGTTCCCAAGGCATCAGCTGAGCATTCGTAATACATGCCGGAAGTCTTAGCACTTGGGAAGATGAGACGGGAGGGACCAGTTCTTTATTCTGTAGCTAGACTCCGTCCCGAACTAAGTTCCCTAGTCCCCCTGATGCTGCTCATCCGGAGGGGAAGGACATTGAATGAAACTGACTGCTTTAACACATGCTGTTTCTAAAAGTTACCTTTTTGCCTAACCATTTAGGATTGCCTTGTTTTATGTATTATCCATGGATACTGCAAATAGTCACTGGTTAGCTTTGTTTCGAGACAGAGTCTCACTGTGTAGCCCTAGCTGTCCTGGAACTTGCTCTGTAGATGAGGCTGGTCACTGGGGTTTTTTTGTTTGTTTGTTTTTAGGAATTACAAGCCCAACCAGAAAAGACTGATTTAGAATGATCATTTGTGTGGTTAAAAATTGAGCATACTGGGACTAGAGTTGTAGCTTAGTGGTAGAGTGTCTTGCCTTCACAAGGCCCTAGACTGACAGGCCGGTGCCTCAGAAGACTGTACTGTTGGTTCTTCAGTACATATTAGCGTTGTAGTTTTTACATTCATTAACATTTCAGTATTAGAGAAGCAAATTTTAAACAAATAATTGCTTTATAAAGTCCGAGGTTTTTGTTGTAAATATATTTAGAAGCATTGCTTATTTTTATTTCTAATTATGTATATGTATTGGTGTGTGTATGTGTAGTCTATGTGGGTGCCTCGGGAGGCCAGAAAGTATTAGGTCTCCTGGAGCTAGAGTTATAGGCAATTGTGACCTAAACTCAGGTTCTCTGCAAAAGCAGTACACATGGGTAACTGTGAGCCTCTCTCCAAACCCAAGTGGTAATATTTTAAATAAAAATTTGTCCTAGTTTGGAATATTATGGACTGATTGCAGAACTTTTCAAAGCCAATTTATTTGCCCTTCAAAGAGATGGCTGGAGAGATGGGTCAGTGCTCAAAGGCATGTACTGCTTTTCAAAGATCCAAGTTGAATTCCCAGTCCCCATATGGAGTGGTATACAACTGTCTGTAGTTCAACTGGAGGGGATCAGCTGCTTCTGGCTTCTGTAACCACCTGTATTCATATGCACATACATAAATAATCTTATAATTCAAAACAATAAAATTATCCAGGCGTTGGTGGTGCACGCCTTTATTGTCCCAGCACTTGGGAGGCAGAGGCAGGCTGACCTCTGAGTTCAGGGTCAGCCTGGTCGACTCTGTTACACAGAGAAACCCTGTCTTGAAAAACAAAACAAAAAACAATAAAATTCTTTCAAAAAATTCCACAGGTTGTATTAGTATTAACAACTTATCTCTTTATTAAGAAATATGGGTAAGGAACTGGAGAGGTTGCTTAGTGGTTAAGAGCATGTGTTCTTGCAGAGGACTTGACTTTGGTTCCAAGCATCCTTACAGCTGCTCGTGATCATCTGTAACTCCAGTTCTAGGGGATCCAGAGCCTCTTCTGACCTTCATGGGCACCAGGCACTGTGGTGCATATAACATACATGGAGAAAAACTGCTCATACACATAAATTCTAAAATATTTTCTTTAAGAAGAAAATGAATTAAAAATGTCATGAGTAGATAAAGCTTACAAGATAGTAAAAGTAATGAGGAGAAAAGGCAAGGTTGGATGAGGATGCGATGATTTACGTTGTCTTAGAAATAGACTCATTGTAAGGATCAAATATTGGCAAACACACATTTGTTAAGTGTTGTTTCAGTTCAGAAAGCATACACTTTGGTTATGTCCTTCAGAGCCCCTTTTAAGTGGGATATCTCCTGTTTTGAAATTTAGGGCAGCAGCAATGACTCTGCGCACGGTATTATTGTCATTGCAAGCACTGTTGGCAGCTGCGGAACCAGATGACCCCCAAGATGCAGTAGTAGCGAATCAGGTAAGAAGGCAGACTTTGAAAGACTTCCTTAGATGTGTGTATATCATGTTTAATATTTGATGTCAGCATATGAACATTCTACATTGGGACTAAATTTGGAGATGGTTTCATTGGGTACGTGGTAGATGCTATTTTCTAATGTATGAAAGCATTGCACAGTGAGCACCTGTGTGGTTACCGTCCAGATCTACAGTGTATTTCCCACATGTGTGCTCCGGTTTGTGCAATCATAAAGCCCTCTCTCCATACAGTTTTGGGTTCCTCCACCACTGGAGTGGAGCCGACAGTGGTGGCATTGGTAATGATGTTCATGTGTGGAGTGGAGTATTTTTTGCTTTTTGTCTTTTAATTCCTCTAAGGGTAAGGCAAGTTACATCACTCTGGTTGGTTTGGCTAATCTTATGTTATAGGAACAGAGTCATATCCACTTGTTCATTTTGCTACCCAGTCACAGTGACAGTGTTATACACGGTCTGTGGCATGAAAGGTTTAAATAACTAGTATCCATACCTTTAGACAGTGATTGCCAACCTCTTCGTTAAAATATTCCGGTTTACAGAGTCAAACATCTTCTCTCCATTTATGAAATATTTCTCTCTTTTCTCCCTATATTTGGAGTTGATTCTCAGTTCCTATGTTTTGTTTTTTTTTTTTTGAAACGGTTTCTCTGTGTAGCTTTGGTGCCTGTCCTGGATTTCACTCTGTAGACTAGGCTGGCCTTGAACTCAGAGATCCACCTGCCTCTGTCTCCTGAGTGCTAGGATTAAACAAAATATTAAATGAATTGATAGTTTTTACAAAAGCCACTGTGTGTGTGTGTGTGTGTGTGTGTGTGTGTGTGTGTGTGTGTGTAGATCAGATGACAACTTCGTGGAGACAACTACTTTTTGAGTTCCAGGTTCCAGGATCAAACTCAAGTGGTCAGGGTTCCACAGTAATTGCATTTTTCATGTTCCCAGTGACTGACACACACACACACACACACACACACACACACACACACACACACACACACACACGAGATGTGGAACTACAAAAGAAAAAAAAAACTAAATTGGCAAGCATCCTTCCTGTAAGGTATTTCTTAAAGAATTTCAGATTTGGGGCTGGAGAGTTGGCTCAGTGGTTAAGAGCACTGGTTGCTCTTCTAGAGGTCCTGAGTTCAGTACCCATCAACCACCTGGTGGCTCAAAGCCATGTGTAGTCGATCTGGTGCCCTCTTCTGGCCTGCAGGGATACATGCAGGCAGAATACTGTATACATAATAATAATAAAAAAACACCACACATCTTTCAAATTCATGTGGCAAATCTTACTATCTAAAAGGACTCTGAGTTTTAAATTTTCTTAAAGCATGATACAAGTTAGGGTTTTTGAGTTGTGTTCTTATTACTACAGAGAACAGCTTGAAGAGAGGTGTCTCAGCTTGAGCTGTGCCTAGTAGCATAGTTGGTCATATTTATCAGCCAACGTTCATGTAATTTCACATGCTACTGATTTTGTTTAGTTGTGTAATTTGTGTACAATGATTACAACATCTCAATAATAGTTCATTTCATATTAGGTCACATGGGATGCTGGTAACTGAACTGGTGACCGGGCTAGCGCTGCCATTCACTCTTCCACAGCCCAAGCCCCGTCTTAAATAGTCTTAGTTGAGCTGCTATGTTACCGATCAACTGTATTGTCATGTTAATCGTTTTTTTCCCTCTGTGTAGTACAAACAAAATCCTGAAATGTTCAAGCAGACAGCTCGACTTTGGGCACATGTGTATGCTGGAGCACCAGTTTCTAGTCCAGAATACACCAAAAAAATAGAAAACCTGTGTGCTATGGGCTTTGATAGGGTAAGTACAGGAGGAACTACTTTGACTTCCTTGTTTGTTCTAAACTGTTCCCAGCCTTGGGACAGGTGGGCTAGCAATGGAAACGAAATGTACTTTTGGTTAATAGTGTTTGGTATTGAAATCAGGAATGGTTCTGTTTGTTGACTCTAGTCATTGGTAGAGGAAAGAATGCATGATTTTTTCTCCGTGCAAAACCATAGTGTTTCCAGAGCTTAACAAGTGCTTCCGTGAGATGTGATGCTGTTGTTCTCTTCTTTACAGAATGCAGTAATAGTGGCCTTGTCTTCAAAATCATGGGATGTAGAGACTGCAACAGAGCTGCTTCTGAGTAACTGAGGCATGGAAGCTGCCGCCAGCCACGCTCACCTCGTGAGGAGCACCAACATCGGTTATTTTTAGGATTCTGCATAAATTTCTTTTAAACTGGCATTCTTGCCTAATGATGTTATCTAGGCACCATTGGAGACTGAAAAAAAATTCCCTGCTCTGTAAATAAAGCTAATTAAACGTCTGTGTAAATTTAAAAAGGGGAAATACTTTAATTTTTTTCTTAATAGTGTAAAAATTCTTTGAGCTAAGCTAAAACCGTGGAAAAAACATGCTACGTTAGTGTTTAGCAGTGTAACAAGACTAGCGACTTCGCTTCAGGGTTCTGTTGAATAACTAGGCTAACACTCGAGTGTCGCCGCTCACATTGTCGTGTTGCATCACAGCTCCCTTAAGCGTTTGAACCTGGATCCTCTGTGCCTGTGAATTTACTTGCATGCTTGTACTTGACTTCTTAGGATGGGTAGCTGAAAAGACCACCCTTTTAAGCATTAGGAAATTCTTGAATTATGAGATTTATCCAGACTTAAAGATGACCTAATTAGAGCCTTTCGGTCCCTGTGGACGGGTAAGGACACTCTTATTTTTTCCCTGTTACCATCCAGAGCTAAGATTCTCATGGTCAGTTTCTCTGTGTTTGGTGGGAACTGTGCTGAGGAAGTGTCCTTGTTCCGTTTTAGGTCATAGATTTGAAATGTTTTGTCTGAGTTCTTCACTGTGTAAGTAATAATGTAAAAATGGGGCTGCCAATTTTATTTCTCTTATAAAAGAAGTAATACTTGATGTTGCAGTATTCCCAGGTTTAATAAAAGGACCCTACTTAGTTTTTCAGTGAATTTGACATTTTTCAACTGTTGAAATCTTTGGAAACTTGAAGGATGCAGCCAACTGTTTGCAGTAGTGTCCGGTGTAACTGGGACTTACAGTCTGCTTTATCAGACACTTGAGATGGCTCTTGCTGCACTCCCCATGTCCACACATGAGAGCAAGCTGTTAGTGTCTCACTGTACATACTCCAGATGCACATAGGAATAGGCGTGTGCTATAACTCTAGCTTTCTTTATGATGTTGCTGAGAATGTGAGAATTGAAACTTTACCTTCTCTTGTACATAGACTTCCTGTTCTCAAGGACCGTCCCATCTCATTCTAAGTTCAAAGTTTGAAAAGTGTTCGTTTTACAAACTCAAACACTTACTTAACCATCTTAATAAGGTTCAAATGAATTTATGTAGGCAGTTGTTACATAGGAGATATAATTATAAATTTTGAGGACCAATGAATAAATAACAGAAATGTAATGGAATCAGTCTGAATTAAAGTAAGGCTCTCTATGGAAAGTCATATTCTAAAAGGTTTGTTTTCTTGAAATGTTCTTCATCTTATAGTCATAAAGTGTTAGGAAAATACTTTTTGAACCTATTAACTCAGCATAACTTCATTTGACTTTTCAATAATCTTGATACTACAAGCAATAAAAGAACCATTAACTATACTATAACATTAAAAATGTGAAGGTTCTTCTAGCAACTTGTAAGGCTTTCACAGTTAACAGTGACTGCGTGCTGCTGGTCCTGCACACTATAAACTCAAGCTGCTATGTTCTCCATGTTTGCGGATGCACACATTTCCTGTTGCAGCCACATCCTTTTATTGCTATAGTTTATTTTCTAAAGATGCCAAAGGAAACAAATTTTTCTTTATTTATTTTAAATAGCTAAAACTCTACTTTTCTTTATATTCTGAGATTAGATGGAATTGTGTGACATTATGGACAATTTAGCTCCATTATTGATTAGAAAGTGGCTTTTTTTTGGTTTTTTTTTTTTTTTTTGGTAAGTGGAGGTGGCTTGGTAACACTAATATTTGGATATTTAAAAGGATGAAACATTCTTGGAGTTTCCTCTTTGCCTGTATTGTCAGGGTAGACTGTCTGGTCAGACAGAGACGAGAACTAACTCAGATGGCGGGAGTCAAGCATTACCTGCTTTGCTCTTGGAGGCAGCTATGTCCTGGTTTGGTTTTTTTATTTTTTATTTTTATTTTTGCATATTGGCCTCAGACTGGCCCGATCTTGTATGTACTAAACACACTTAAGGGTCCCCAGCACCCAGAAGATTGGAGAAGTATAACATTGGGTTTCACAGATTTACATGATGTTGCCTTTTTAGAAATTGATTTTCAGCTGGATGTGGTGGCAGATTCTCTTGTGATCCTAGCTCTTGGGTGCTAGGACCATGAGTTCAAGGCTCTCTGGGTTACATAAGCAAGACTACTTAAGATTCCTCATTTTCATTTCATGTGATAATCACCTTTTCTGGTGTATTTCCTCGCTGTCCTCTTGGGTTGTTTTTAACTTCCCAACTGGTAGGTTTAGTTTATCAAAAACAAAAAAGAAGCTTAAATAATACCTTTATTCTGGTATTAAATATGTTTAGGAAAGTATTAAAAATTCAGGCTTAGTAATAAGTACCCTGATGGAAATTATTTTTAAATTCTGGTTTGAGAATTTGTCAGTTTAAAAAGTCCTAAAAAGTTTTTGGTCTGGGTGTGGTGGCACATGCTTTTAGTCCCAGGCTTTTTGAGAGGCAGAGGCAAGCACGTTTTTGAGTTCGAGGCCATTCTTGTCTACATACTAAGTCCCACGCTAGCCAGGACTCCACAGACGTTGTGGGGCACCTCCCCTCCCGAGTAATTTTAGTGAGACCTTATTTAGAGCATGCAGATTTACTACAAGTCACTGACCCTCTAATGGGCTTTTACATAATCCAGTGTTTTTCCTGAGCCTGGGCCTGACTTTCAGTAGAAAACTTAGTTGTAAGCCTGTTGGGATAGATCCCAGGAAGGTCTGACTCCAAGCACAGGATGTAGATACTTATGGCACACTGGTACTAGCCAGCTGCCCCAAGTTTGTGCTCTCAAATGTTTCTTGGTTTACTTACACGTAACCTTCAAAAATATGTTAATGTTTGGAAAATTGAGTTTTTCCTTTTGAGAAGTGTAACCTATGAAATGAGATTAAAACACCTTTTTTTTTTTGAAATTTTTTATATTCCTGATTGTTGGTGGCATTTAACACTATGCAAAAATCTTTGTCTGCAGGAAGGGACGGCAGCAGGGTTGCTCGGTAGGCACTGGGAATGCAGCATGTTACTGGTCAGGCTGCTGGGCAAATTTACCAGTGGGAAAAGCAAAGCTCGATTGTAAGTGTATGTCTGCTAGGAGCTTGTGCACCTGCAGTAGAAGAAGAGTGTTTTCCAAATCCAGTGTAGCAAGACCAGAAAGGAATTCTTGGTGGTCTAAGGAATGAAGATGACTTTGGGCAGAGGGGTGTGGAGTCAGCTATATTGTGTACATAGATGGAACCAGTGTTTAGATAGGAGAGAGGGAAAGGGAGGGCTGTTCACAGTTATCTTTATTTCAATCACTTTTTCTAGCTTCAAGGAGTTGATGTTTGAAAGTTGCATTTCCACCTCTCAGTCCCTGTTTAAGTCAGTGCACACCCATCAGCCTGTTGGTGTCGCTGAGGAGGCAACTCCGAGCCCTCCCTGTTGCATAGCCTTTTCCCAAGCATGCCTTCCAGTGTCTGCACATGTTGTGATAGACTGTTTGCACTGTTGCCGTGCACAGTACAGCTCACTGCATAGGTCAGAGAGTGCTGGTCTCTCCCTTGCTGTCCTCGTACTCCTCGTCGTTACTGCTTTCTTACATGGCTAGGACCTCAGGAGCCTGCAGTCATCACCAGAAGGTGCCAGGATGGTCTCACCTTTGGCTTGGTTCTTCCCACCACGCTGCTGTCTGTGATGAGCTGTGGCATAGGTTGGTTTGGTTCTGAGAGAAGTGGATCCAGTCCTTGCACTGTGCTCTTACTGATCATGTCTGCTTCCCGTCACCTACTTTTTACAGGCATCATAATAAAAGCTAGACAATTTCTTTGGGGGAAAAGAGACTTATTTAATGTAATTTAAAAGACTTTTCCAATAGAAAATGAAATATTATTGAAAATATCTATTTTTTAGCTTTCAGCAATTGATGGTGCTTTGTTGTGGTGTCTGCTGGAAGTTACTGCCATTATAGGGATTTTCATTAACCTCACTGGGAAAGACCCTTGCTTGTTAGCTTCTTTAGATCTCTAAACAGTGTGTTAGTGATGGTAATCCTGTAGGAGGGTCTATTCTGAGCCATTAACTTCCTGTAAGGGGAAAATGGGCTGGTTACCAGAAATACCATTGAAGCAGGGTGGGCTGCGGGTGGAGGGTTGGGTGTTTGTCTTGAGAATTAAAAACTACGAAACACTTTTGTATACAACTGAATTTTTAAAAAATAAACACATTTTTAAAGATGTTGAATTTTCCCCCTTATTGGGAATTCTTAAATATAAATGCATGCATGTCCTATCCCCCATTCCCCCCCACATGGTTTATGTATTATTTCCGGACAAGGAATTAAGCCTTCACATTAAACGCGGAGCAGGAAAATGCTTTCCACAGGTTTATAGTGATGCTGCAAGTGCTAATAGGTTCTCCGAAGGGTGTTGTATCTTTGAATTGGAAAGGGTGGAAGTTCCCAGTCAAACTTGCTTATCTGGACGGGGGCATTGGCCGGCTGAGTGCTGGCCCAGGGTTTCAAGTTCTCCACTCAGCGGGTGGTTGAGGTAGCACTGCTAAGTTTTCATATGAGTGCACACGCCCTGAAAAGGCTGCGCGGTACAGGAAGACTCTAGATGGACTTCGTATGTCCTGGATTTTAGTTCTGAAGATAAGATGACAGCCTGGTGGAGGATGCCTTTGATCTCAGCACCCAGGAGGCAGGCAGATAGGGAGATATGTCTGAGTCCAACCTGGTCTGTATGTCCCGTTCCAGGCTTGAGAGAGCTACATAGTTAGACCCTATCACAAAAGGCCAAGGCTTTTCTGATCCTGTTCTTTATCTAGGTAAATATGTCTAGTGTTTAGCACCATTTGTAGAAATCGGATGAAATGATAGAGCTATCCAGTCTCGTGGCACATTGCTCGATTCCCAGTACTTGGGAAGTGGACGAGACCATGCCTCCAATGACTGAAGAGGTAAGGGAGGTAAAGGACTTAAAGTCACACTGAGGATCTTTCTTTTTGGTCCCTGCCTCATCCCTTGAGAAGGCATCTTACTGGACTTGATACTACCTGGTGTCGTCCTCAGTACTGGGATTACAGGTGTGTGTCCATGCCTGGATTTTTTTATTTTTCTTTATTTTTTAAGTATGGTGCTGGGCCTCAAGTGCAGATTCCCCCATCCTCAGATCACTGAGGAATCACCCAGTGCCCCTTAGCTTTGGCCTTCATTTTGTAGAGGAGGGCTACTGTGCTATTGTGGGTTACTCGCTCAGGAGTTTTGGAACTGGAGAGGAGAAAAGGACGGTGAGATCAGCTGGAGCATGGGCACATTAACAGGACCGTTAGTGAGATGGTGCACAGGGAGGGCCAGGCGGAAGAGTAGTGGGGAACGCCGCAGGAGACTGCTCAGAGAGCTTGGGGACCACAAGGAGACTTCCCAGCCGTTTTTAATTTCTTAATTATATCAAGTCGAGATTCCTACCTTGGTTCTTCAGCCCAGTTTATGAGCGATGAAAGCAGGCTGGCACAGCTCAGGGGGCTGTAGCATGGGCAAGGCTCTGGGCTCTATTCCCAGTACTGTGCACCCGACCCCACCAAAGCCTGTCTTCACTGATCCTTTTACTGCCCTTCATACTTCTAATTCCTGTTTGTCACTGTGTTTCTTCACTGCCCTTTTCAATTGTTTTTCAAATGTGCTTCTATTCTCCTCCACAACCCACATCTGAATAATTTAGCCTAGCATTCAGGAGGTTGGGCGGAGTCTAGGCTAGCCAGGGAGATACATAGCATAAACCTGAAAAGTAAAACAACCACCAGAATACCACTAGAAAATCAAATCAAAAACCTTCTGGTTCACTGTCTTATCCTTTCTCAAAGTTGAGTCTGGCCTTATCATCTTCATGCTAGGATTGGTGTGAAAATCCATACCCCTTCAAGCTAGACAACCTGAAACTAACCAAAACATAGCATCAGTTGGTGGTGTGGCTTGGATCTATATGGCTATGGCTTGCCAACAATATGCTGTAGACAGAATGGCACCCTTGGGCCTTTGAAGAGGTCTTTATACCGTGGGCAGCACCTGCAGGGTGCAGTGACGGAGCTCTAATACAGCACCCCGCACCGTGCACCTGTGCACATGGCTGTTCCTTGGTCTTCCATTCGTGATGCAGCTAGTGGGCCCTTGCCAGGGACCAGCACCATGCTCTTTAGACAGTGTGAACAACAGAAATGTGCTAAGTTACGCATACCTCCTAGAATTGGCCAGCTTGGCCTTATCTTAAGCTTATACTGTATAATCGCTAATGTTTGTGGGGTTTTGTTTGGTTGTGGTGTGTGTGTGTGTGTGTGTGTGTGTGTGTGTGTGTGTGTGTGTGTGTGTGTTTCCTTTTTGTTAACACAGTTTCATGTTATAAAAGCCTAGACTGGCTTGGAGCTTACTATAAAGTCCAGGCTGGCTTCAAACTTGGTCATCCTTCTGACTTTTATCACAAGTGCCTGGATTGCAAGTTTATGTGACTATGCCTCAAACTATTCATAGCCAAAGCATACAGTCCTGTGAGGATCCATAAAGAAATGGTTGGATAGCTAGGAACAGACCATTGAGTAGGCTGTCTTATTTTACAACTGCTTAGATATGTAGACTGATTTTCCTCTTATAAACTGCAGCAAGGGTTCAATGTTTTAACTCCAGGTGTGGTGGTGCACACCCTTAATCCTAGCAAGTGGGAGGAAGAGGCGGCAAGATCTATGTAGGTTCAAGGCCAGCGTGGTCTACATAGTGAGTTCCAGAACAGGCAGGGCCCCATAGAGAGACTCTGCCTCAAAAAACAAACACAAACTGATACAGATTCTCTGCGGTGACATCACCAGGGAGCAAATAGATGTGAAGACAGTATAACTTTGTAGAGGGCAAGTGAACCTAGAAGCTGGACAAATCCGCGGCTGCAAAATGAGATTTGGCCGGAAGTCTGGCTTCCTGCTGCCCCGGCATGTGGCTAACTAAAAGACTTAGGATCTTACTGTGGAAGGAAATTCCTCTTGAGACAGACACAAAATCCTGAGATCACAGTAACGGCATGAAGATGAGGACCCATGTGGTAGCTTCGTGGTCTGTACGTGTGTTTGTGGGTACACATGTATTTTGTCCATTGGGGGCCAGAGATTAACCTTAAATGTTCCTCATGATCTTTGATCTTTCTCCCTTGTTTGGAGAGACAGGGTCTCTTACTGGGACTTGGGGCTTGCAGGCTAGGCTAGGCTAGGTGGCCACAAACCCCAGAAATGTTTCTGCATCCCTGGCGCTGGAGTTATAATCGTGCTAACAGACCCAACCTTTCCTATGGTGCTGGGTGAGGTGAGTACTTCACCAGCTAAGCTGTCTCCTCGGTCCACAGTTAAGCCTCAGGAAGTGGAAAAGATGGAAAGATCATTTCTGTCACTCAAAGGGATTCAGTGAGAAAGCTAAGTTCATACATGTGAACTTTGACTGCAGAATCACAGGGCGGGGGGTGTGGGGGTGGGTGGGGGGACGGCGCTGAGACCCAGTGGTGCATACCTGCACAGTGTTTCCAAGGCCCTGGGTGGGACTGCAGCAGCATAAGGCAAACAAAGACACCACTGGGCATGTGTTGGTAGCTCTTGGCAAGCATTTGTAAAGCCCTGCCTGAACTTAGTCCTCAGCTCCAAGAAAAGGAAAGACAAACAGCTATGCAAACTAAAATGTTCACCAAACTTTAGAAAATGGCACCAAGTACTAATGAACATGATCAGTAAGAAAAGCTGAAAACACCACTTCCCCGAAATATACCTGCACAATGGTACACCCCTGTAATCCCAGCATTCAGGAGGAGAGCCTGGGCTACGTAGACTATCAGACTATCACAAAATAACCACTGACTGCACATGTAAAAGTGCTGGACACAGGGCAGCCTGGCTATCTAATAGCTCTCACAGTGAAAACCTGTCTCAAGCAAAGACAACTCTCCAATCCAAAATAATAAAGTTTAAGGAGTGCAAAAATTTTTAGAAAAACATGGCATATTTTTAGGAAATTAATGGGTCGTTTTACCAGCACAATGTTTATAAGCACATTTTGTTTCACAATATTGGTAACAGCCAGAAAAGAAATTGGAGCTTGGGGAAATCTGAAAATAAAACACCACCATTTCTTAACTATGGAAACTTCTAAGGTTTGAGTGCAGAGCACCTTTGTTGTTCTGAAACATAGCTCAGGCTGGCCTCAGAATCAGCCCTTGCCTCTTGTCCCGAGTGCTGGAATTCCAGATCTATGTCACCATGGCTGGCTTGATTACAAAGCATTTCTAACTACTAGTCCCATTGTCAGCTGAAGTGCCAGGCAGTGTAGAGATTGCCAGATGTTCAAACTTGGTCTTCCATTGCGATTTTCTGAGGAACATGAACAATATATCCACCCCAGTGGAGAAACTACACAAAGGGAAGATGCTGTTAGCATCTGGTTATTTCTGGGAGGAAGGAAGAGAGGTCTACACCCGCAGCCCAGCGCTGCCTGCCAGTGTGAGGCAGGACCAGAGTGCTCCATGTGGAGAGCAAGAGAAGAGACTGTCGGGTAGCTCCGGGGTACAGCCTTCACTGGAGTGGAGGGCAAGAACTGGCGATCGAGTGTGTATTCTACTTAAGAACAGAAAACCAAAGAGGTGACAATTCTTTTTTTTTTTTGGTTTTTCGAGACAGGGTTTCTCTGTGTAGCTTTGCGCCTTTCCTGGAACTCACTTGGTAGCCCAGGCTGGCCTCGAACTCACAGAGATCCGCCTGGCTCTGCCTCCCGAGTGCTGGGATTAAAGGCGTGCGCCACCACCGCCCGGCAAGAGGTGACAATTCTAGGAAACCAGGCATTAGAGTTGTCAAGTCAATGAAAATAAAAGCCATGAGTGACACACATTACTAAGGAACTGAACCTCCTTAAGAAATGATGCTTTTAGGTCTGGCAGTGGCAGTGGCCACAGGCTGATCTCCAAGTTCGAGGCCAGCCTGGTCTACAAGGTGAGTTCCACAACAGCCAGAGCTGTTACACAGAGAAACCCTGTCCTAAAAATACAAAATAAATCAGAACGAAAAGAAAAAAAAAAGGTGCTTTTAATCAGTGGATGCAACCAGATCACAGCAAAAGCAAATGGTTTCCAACAAGTCTCTAAAGAAATGTGGGCTTGGCTTGTGTGTTCATAGCTGTTGTGTGAAGGCTGGGGTATAGCTCAGGGGCAGAGTATGTCTATCATGTGTGAAGCCCAGGGTTCAACACCCAGAACTGCCAAAAATGTGTTATATGTGTAAATGTGCTTTTAAGATTTACTGAGAAATAATCTACCTACTACTATACAGTCCACTCATGGTATGTAATTCAATACATAAATCAAAAATATAATTATCGTCAATAAAATTGGAGAAAAAACTTAAGCGTATAATCCCATGATTTAATACACAAATTTGTACATCTACCACAATCCTAGAAAGGTTTTATTGCTCTGAGCAGAAAACTTCGGGGTCTCCAGAGCTGCTGTCATGACAGGGTCTCGTGGAATCCAGTCCACACAGGGTGTGGGGTGCAGGCCTGTAAGCCCAGCACTAGGGTTAGAGGGGCAGGAGGACCCAGGAAGTTAAAGGCCTTTCTTAGCTCTACATCTAATTCAAATCAGCTCAGATACATGAGATCCTGTATTAAGTAAGTGGACCGATTCCTGTTTCTCACACTGCTGTCTGTCCCTCTCCCTCTCGTCTCAGAGGGAGATCTGTCTAGAGTAGAGGTCTCTACTCTAGCTCCGACTGCTCATCTTCCATATAGCAGTCCTGCTGCTTTTAAGAAAACAGATGCCTGCACATTTGGCTTTTAACCAATTAAGAATAAACTACATGTTCCTTATCACGATACTGTGTATGAATTTACTATCTCATAAGTTCCCAACTACCTTCCTCCCCTTTTTGTGATAGGGACTTAACTGTGTAGCCCTGGCTGGTCTGGAACTCCCGTTGTAGACTAGGCTGGCTTTGAACTCAGAGATCATCCTGCCTCGGCCTCCTGGGATTAAAGGCATGCACCACGATGCCCATTGAGGGCCACAGATCCCGACCTTGTACTAGGCTGCCCTGCTAGGTCAAGAAACTGCAGTTGGTTCTACCTCAAGCTCTCCGAAACAAATGAACGCAGTGGTCTACAAAGGGAATGCATTTCGTTTGGAACATGATCTCTGCTAGATGATGATGACAGGAACAACTAGCTGCAAAGTGGAGAAAGGCAGCTGTTCGCAACAGGTGTTGAAAAGGGAACATGACCTAGAAATACCCCCACCTCAAGTCTTGACCATCACCTTGGCCCAAAAACCTTAGAAATGAGACATATGTCTGTACTACAATTTGAGGCAAGACTACCAATCAGGTTATTATTCTTACAGTGTGTATCTGTGAAAACTTGAAGCTCTGGTATCCAGGTGAAGTCTAAGGCTTGGGTCGGGGTAACCATCACAGCTGTTTAGGGGTTGAGGGAGGAGGATTAGGTGTTCAAGTTCATCCTCAGCTACAGTGAGTTCAAGGACAGCTTGGGCATGAGACTGCATTAAGAAGAAACATTTAACTACATGGGGTTGGGAGTGTTGGAGAGAGAGCTTAGAGCTTAAGAGCTTACAGAGGACTGGGGCCCAGTTCCCAGCACCCACATGGGGGCTATCAACCCCAGTTGGTTCCAGGGGAACCAACAATCCTTTCTAACCTCCAAGGGGATCAGGCATGCAAGTGGTGCAGACACATGAGGGGGGGAGGGGAGGGGGGAGAGTGGAGAGAGAGAGAGAGAGAGAGAGAGAGAGAGAGAGAGAGAGAGAGAGAGAGAGAGAGAGAGGAGAGAAAGAAACAAAGGGAAGGAATTCAGAAGGTTCTGCGCCCTGATGGCCATATTACCTGAGTAGGCAGCAAGTGCCGCTGTCGGAGCTGGTAGAGACTTGCTGAAATGAAGACAAAGAAGTCTCGACAACACATCTGTCCATCAGTACAGAGATGGTTGAGGCCAACCAGAGGTATGCCCTCACCCCTTACGGATACTCAAGGCCCATATGAAAGGGTGTAGTGGTCACGTATGACTGACATCTTTTCTCCCTTCTACTTCATTCTGAGATTGCGAATCATACACTAAATAACATACATTTTTGTTAAAGTGCTAAACGATATATATTGTATTGTTTGGGGAATAGTGATCAGAAAAAGTTTGGTACAAGTGTACCCCTCCCCAAATATTCTTCACCTTTATTTTTTTACCGAGTTATAGAATCCATGAATATCAAGGGGCCAACTACAGGGAGCATGAGCTCTAGAATGACAAACCCATTAAAGGTAAAATATAAAGCTAGCCTGTTCATCTCTTCTTCTGTCCACTGTGGGATCTGATCAGTCTCCATCATTAAACTAGTATATCATGTCCACCATTTACCACAAAACAGTAGGAAACAATGACCATTCTTAAGTTTAGGTTAAAGAACAGATTGGAAAATTTTCCAAAGATCCTTTAGAATGGATTGATTGTCAGTGTTTTCTTCTTTGGTCACTGTAAGCTCCATCAGAAGCTCAAATGGACAGTATGCAATGATGTCTCGTCAACCTTTGACATGGGGTGCATGAACATTCAGGTCTCCACACTTCTATGTAATGCTGCATTTCTTGGTTTTATTTGAAACAGTGCATATTTTTAAGCATTTTATGGAAGGATTTTACACTTGTCATTTACACAAATTACAAGGTTCTGCTTAAAGTCTTTTAAAAAATTCTAAAAATCCAGCCCATGTGCAGCACGGGGATATGCAAAACTACTTTACATTATACACACTTTTTATCAAAGGAGATACAAAATTCTGGCTTGTAGTTTTAGACAAATACAAGAAGCTTCAAACTAGACACAAAGGGTTAACAGTAATTCTCAAATATAAGTCTGCACTTTTGTGTTGTATTTCTCTGAGATGTAAATATCAAATTCCTAAGAGATTTTACATTTTCTTTTTTAAAGAAAACCTGACACATTTCCAGTAAACAAGTCCCTCGCTATTTGCTTAAGCTTTGACCAGCTGACGCTCCCCTCACTTGGTGCAGAGATCTAGTACTCTTCCACTTACACACCCACGAGGAACAGGCCGGCCCGGGAGTAACTGTGTTCTGCTGCAAAACTCCAAAGAGCCAGGGATGTGGGCGGTAATGCTGTGTTCTCTTTAGTCGAGAGACCTATGAGCCTTCCTTTTTACCCCTTGTGACTAACTGCTCGACACAGAGGTTCACTGGCTTCCAGCAATGCAGTTGTGTTGGTGGCAAACTGGTGGCCCTAAGAATCAAGTTATCTGAACTTCAAACTTCTTCTACCTCGACTACACCACTGGTGATTGCCTGAGGGACCTTACTGATCTGTATGCATAGATACTCTGTCAGTATATTGGAGGCAATGTTTGCATTTTCTAGAGGGTTGTGAAGAGGCAACAGGAAGAGTAGGGCTTTTATGCCCTTTCAAGAAATATTGTTTCTGTCATTGGTATCCACTGTTCCCTAGCCATCTTCTGACGCCTAAACCTGTACATGTAAAACAGATACTTAAGACAAACCCATCTTTCACCCAGTCAATTTACAGCCAACTCTCAATTATCTATGAGAACCCAAGTGACATATATTATCTGTGAATTCTATCCTGAAGAAATTTTGACCCTTCAATGATTTTATACATCCCATCCAGACCAAGTCACAATGTGAACAGAGCAGTACAGTTTGCTAGGGCTTTGGGAACAAGCCAAGTGATAACAGTAGAGACAGGCAAAAACCTCTTGAGGAGGAGAAAAAATTCATTTCAAGTTTCTCCTCAATCCTTCTCGAAGGTGCCTTCATTCTCCTGTGTATGGTCACTACAGACTAACCACCTGGGGCCCAGCCACTGTCCTCCACAGATAACTGAGAGTTGACGGGAGTCATGCCCTTCTTTGTGACTTTAGCCCTTTACATAACAGTTCCTAAGAAAGGAAAGCATGATAGAAAGATGAAAGACTTCCATAGGACATCTACAAGCATTTATTTTATGCAAAAATTTAATGATTACGTGCACACAAATGGTGTGCACATTATCTATGCTGAACAATGAATGTGAAGGAACAGAGTATTGATGTAACAGTTGTCTGTAAAATAAAGTTAAAAACTGAGCCCCAATTATCAGACAAAAATAAAACGCTTCTTTCCTAACAGCCTGATGCTGAAAGTTGACAGCAGCAACCCTACGCATCTCAGTTTTCTCAGAAAGCTGCCAGTGTCCATCTACTTCTATCACAAAGGAAAAAACAAAAAACAACTTTTTTTTACATTAATAATAAAAATCTGGTGACAAAAATTATAAAACCAAATCCTGGACAGTTTTTAACTCCTTTAAAATCCCAAATATTCCAACATAATCATAGGAGTAAAAACCATTTTAAAGTGATATTCCTTATGAAACATATGTACATTTATTGCAAATTATATTAAACTAAAATGGGAGAAATCATAATATGAAGTATTTATGACTTGCAAATCAATAATAATTTTAATTATTTTCTCATTCTGATAAAAATCAGATAGCAACATTTATAAAATTGCCACGACATTACTTTTCATAGCAGGTAACAGAAATCTGTACATCTCATTATTTGCAGAAAAGTAGACAGGCAGAAAGAATAATACATAAGTTTCCAAAAGGAAAACAAAGAACTATGTCGTCTGCTCTCTTGTAGACACCTGCTTCCTGTGTGGCTCCAGATGGACGAGCTCTGTGTCAGTGTGAGGAGGACATGTCACCCCTTGACGTGACAGCTGCAGCATGGAAAGAATGGTTCGTACGGGCGCCTGTAAGCTCCAGATATGCAGGAACTGGAACCAAGTGTTAAGCAATTTGCTTAATTATTGACTTTTCCCAGGAAAAGTCTGGGGGAGGGAAGAACAGAGATGCTTTTAGCCTCTCTCTAGAGTCTGCTGTACATGTCCACCAGAGGACTGTGGCTGTGGAAAAAGGAAGGCTAGCTTCTCTCAGTTTTCAAGGCAGAAAGTGTGTATTTGAAGTAAGCTTCGTTTTCTGTTTGGGGACATTTGAATCCCAGTTTTTACAGAACCTGGAATCTGCTTCTGTTTGGCCTTCATTTTCTCCCTGTCCGAGTTCTCTTTTTACCTTGGGAACAGAAGAACACAAAGTGAGAACACGCAGAAGGAGCAGCCCAACAGAACAGTCTACTGTGTTCCATGCTTTCCACCCCAAGTTGTGAACTAACACTTACTTTTCACTAGCTTTAGGGATAAACGAAACACCAACACACAAGTCTCTCTCTGCTTTGCTGCCAAGTACTGTGGTCAGGGCTTATTTGTTTACAATGCTAAACCATTCATCTTGATTAATTGCAGTTTTTTAATCAATTCTTTCA